CGCTCAGGAAAGAGATGTGTAGGTGTAACGTCGTGCGATCAATTTACGATTGCACGAGCTGAAATTTTATCCTCACTCCCGGGCAGTCAATTTTGCGCGATAAAGCTTCGCCTATCGAACGGCATGCTTGTTCATGAATCGGTTGGATGAAACGAGGTGCCATTCCATCAGCAATACTCGAAGAAAGAAAATTGTCTTTCCCATCTCCGTTTAGCAACGCATCTCCCTCTCTCTCTCTCAGCAAGAAAATAACCGACGCAAATGCGCCTATACCTGTGTTCTCAGGTCTGTTTCCAAAAGGCACGGCAATCTACGAATTTGCGTAGAACATAGAAAATTATTGTGGCGGGAACTACCGCGATTGTCGAATCATCCTCTTCTGTCCCTTCTATCTTTTTTTCAGAAGGGACACGGGTACCGTCTGGACTCTTTAATGGGGGCCCGAGAGTGCCTGAATGGCGCCACCGTTTTCGCGGCAAAGTGACGACGGACCCAACATCGTCCGCAGGTGCCGGGCACAGCCCCCGAACTACGTCATGATGCGTTTCCTGACGTGAGGTGACGAAGGTGAATGGACATCGGCCTCGCCAGAGATGGGCCGGATAAAACGGACGGCGACGTCGTTTCTCATATTCGCTCGTTAACAGATTCCGGAAACTCTAACATTCCTCCGCCGCTATTCGAGAGATTGAATAACGCGTCTCTGCAGTCACGTATGCAAATTCGTACGAATAAGAGAAGGGATAATTACGGAAATTATAGCGAGGTCTCGTTTTCAAGTATGCCGTTGCAGTTTTCAACTTTACGCATCTGTGCGAGAGAACATAATATGCGATAGAATCGATCATCGATTTCTGAATAAAAAGTGCACTCCATTAATTAACGCAGAAGGCCATCTTCGTTTCGAACATTAGACTCGATAAAATCTGTATTCGCGATAAATCTCGTCAATCCTGAAACGGGATTCGATTACACGAGCCTCCGACTCGTTGAACTTTCTTGACCATCTTGAAGAGGGAAAAAGGACGCGTAGAGGGCCTCTAAGACTATCTAGAGTGACATCAACGTTTCTTGCCCTTGTCTCTCGAACGAGTTCGCGATAGACCGGTGCGTTTGCGGAGGAAAGAAAGAATCTCGTAACGGGATAAACGGGCGATCGGGCATCATCCTGGTACAGTCGCATTCCGATACGTAACGGCGAGAAGAGTGTACATCTCGCATCCTGAACGGCACATACTGTGAATAGGCAACAACGACGGGCGGTTATATAAAATTTCTCGGAAACGCTCTCGTGAAACGTGCATACAGTTTTTGAGAAAGGCAAGCGGCTCTACCGGTGCTTCACGCATGGAATTACTATTCGCGGAAGAGATTTCTTTGATCGCGGTATACGAGAACCATAACGGATTCTTTGCAAGGATCCGCTCCTTCTTCGCGCGCTCTTCGCAAATTAAATCGATCGGACTCGAAGGACTTCCGCTCGATGCTAGTTTTTCAAATTATCCGGTTCCACGATGTTTAAATTCTCTTTCCGAGGATCCACAGGTTGAGAATCCACGCGCCGATTCCCCTGTTTGTATTCCAATTATTCAGCAACGTGTCCTGAAACTCTCTCAATTCTTCGTGAATCCTGACCTCGGACCTTTCCTCCCCTTTTTTTACCCCACATCTGCTCCGCGTTCTCCTTACCAAACTTCGCATAGATAATGAACCATGAAAAAGGAAGCAAATCAACTGCACGAATAAAAAAAAAACTTTACTTTCAACCCTCACCAACGCCATTTTCTGCTCGAGATCCATAATCATTATTATTCGCAACGAAATAGTCGGTGGTTCTCCCCTCTTTCTTTCTCACGTATCAATTAATCTTCTCATCTCAAAAATATTAAGATGTAGATGCAAATATGACATTTAAAAAATTATCTTTTATAAGAACGAGTCGCGACGATATAAAAATATAAACGTATAAAACGGAGTAATATTTTTAATAATTTTTTGAAGGTTTTTCTAAAAGATGATAATATATATATGTGATATATTAAATGCGAAACTTGTATAAATATTTCCATTATTTTTCTAGATACTGGAAAGATGATGGAAGATGCAAGATATTACATAAAATGACATTGTTGTATATAGACGGAACTCTCTCTAATTTCGAAGAGAAACGACAAAGGATAGGATGATTGCAATGCACACCGAATGCAAAGTACCGGCGAGGTCGCGATTCGTAAAGCGAACTCGGAGCTGCTGCTCCGTCACCTTCGCAGGTAGTTGGTAGACGAGAGAAAAGGACTCGCGGATACCAACAGGAGAAAGGGAGACGAGAATATATAGAGGCGAGAGAAGCGAGAAGGGCATACTTTGTCAGAGATAGGAGGAAAAGAGACATGGAAGTGGCAGGGCGAAGAAGAGAAGAGTAAAGGCCCCGGGCGAGGTCACCCACCGCCCCCGCCCCCCTCACTCCCCCACACACCCTGATTATCCGCCGCCGGGGGCGGGACGCTCTGTAATGAGCATCGAAGAGGTGCTCAACCTCTGACTGGTTGATAAATTTTCTTGTCCGACATCAAAAACAATTCTAGAATCTTTTAATGATGTCTCTTTCTCTCGCGATCCAAGTATTTTTTAAATAATATTAGAATCTACGATCCTCGAATAATTAAAAAATAATTTTATACGTACTTTTTTAAAAATATATAAAAAGAAAAATATATATATAAAATTATTTTTTATAAAGTATTCCAAATATATGTTTGTTCAATTTTGCTAACAGACAAATTGCAAAACAAATAGTATAGTTTACTACATGATTCATGACAAATAAAAAGAACTGTTGTACATCTGCCTTAAAATAGCAGATGATTTAATTTCTTTCTATAATTTTTTAATGAAAAACAAATTTCAATATAATAACTAATATACGCGTTATGTAAAAGTGTTTGAGGACAGTTTTATTCGCGAATAAAATACTCGCTGATGGTCCACTAGGACTAGGGTAAAATAGCGGCAAGGTGATGGGATGGTAAGCGTTTGAATGACGGAGCACGACGTCGTCGGCTGTCTGTGAAGACACCCGGATGATCGAGCGATGTTATTTTAAGTTTTCCATGGGGGCCTCCCTCCCGCCTTGCCCTAATCGGCTGTCAGCCATCCCCGTAGCCTGGGGTAGCCGGACCACCCCCGCAACGTTTAATACATACGTACGCGCGTAGCACACGCGCGCGATTTCACCGATCAGGAGAGGAGCTGCCTGACACGACCCCCCACGGACAAGATTCGCCCTTTTTTTCCTCCTACATCGAGATTCGCGCCCGAGGATTCATGCCCCTCTCACGAGGGGTCAGATTCAAAACGCTTTACACTCTCATAATCGGGACCTGTTGATTCGACAACCCCCGAAAATCTCGACTACCTCGACTGAATCCGCCGAAACGCGTGCTACGAGAGTCCTTTAAAGCGCGTGCTTGCCTCAGTGGCACAAGGGCGAATTTAATTTCAATTTTAGGCGAAGATAAAATTTATTATTTAAAAAAATGTGTTGTAAAAAAAATAACAAATAAAGGAAAGAAAATTTTTAAAAAATACTCTACCTCACTAGAATATAAACGACCCAAAGAGCCTTGTGGGCATTCCGATACCATTAGCAACGCAACACCTAGTCGACTACTGCGACTTGGTGTTCTCAAACGTACGATAGACCGTGAAGATGGAGTCGCTTCAGGAAAGTTAGAATGCCCTCCGCGGGGCTGCGCGGTCCGTTTGATGGCCTTCTCTTCCTCCGTCCTGGACCATCCACGTGTTTCCACTGGATGGCCGTTTACACCATCAGGTTTGGTGGCACATATTATATACCAGAGAAGGAAAACAGAAGAAGAGAAGGTTAAGAAGGACGAGGACGAACGCGGCTAAAGGTAGAGACCGAGCGGCAGAGAGGGAGAAAGAGATAGAGAGAAAGATAGACCGTTGCTTTCTTGGGCTCCGGCGTGCTTATTGCGTGATATTAGCCACGGTGGCTGCCGCCACTGCTGGGATAATCATAATCTCGAAAGGGGGACAAAACACAGGCCCCGAATCGCATAATGCTGAATTTTATGACTTCTGGCATAGAGGAGACGCGAGACCGGATGCAACGCGACTTTTTATATCCTTCTAACAGCCCCCTTCCCTGACTTGATATCACGCCCAGAGATGGACGGCTTTTCGAAACGTCTCTTCCATCGTCGGATTCGCTTGTCGGATTCGCCGTCATTGAACTCGAGTAAGTGTCGACGAACGAGGATACCGAAAGAGAGAGAAAAGAACGAGGCGAGTCGTCGGCGGAACCAAAAATTAAGCCGCAAAAATCGTGAAAAAAATTTTGATCCGCTAATGAAAATGACGTTATAAAAAAGAAATTGCTCCAATATTAAAAAGAACTTATACATACTCCTCACGCGTTTAAGTTATATAAATAAATGCAAGAAAAGCCGATCGCGGCGGTTCGTGAAACATGAACGTGTAGCCTATTACAATCGAAAACACTCTTGCCTCTCTTTTTGCCCGAATTGATATATACCTGCGATATCAAACTAGTCGGCCACCGGATACTTTCTGTTTGAAGTAATTGTTCCGGGAATTCGATCTAATTTGCGCGTTTGCATAGGCGATCGTGCACGCTATAAAAGAAATAAAAAGAGAGGAAAGAAAGAGAGAGAAAGGAGAGAGAGAGAGAGAGAAAGAGAAGAGAAGAGAGAGAACGGGCACCCAGCGGCGTTACATCGCGTTTCGCAATGCCGTATGAAATCAACGGCGAATGAGGCACCTGAATGGAAGCGAATTGCACGAGTGGTCGACGGCGAGTCAAGTCAACGCGATTCGAGAAGCGCATAGACTGCGTAATAGGAGAGGGTAATTTTTTTCACGGATGATACTGAATAGAAGGTTCCGCGACGATTTTTACAGCGATGTAAATACGGTCTCGTATAATCTCTGGGAAATTGAGATCGTGAGTCACTCACCGTAAGGTCGCTCCGCAACGGGTTCGCACGAGTCTGCAACAGAAAACATTCGCATTCGATTAGCTATATAGTACTGTAACCACAAGCGAGACGATTAATTATTCGTATTCGATACTAGAGCTGGCTTTCTGGGTATCTCTTGGGTATCTGCGATTTAAATGGAACGTCGCATAGTAAAGCGAGAACATGCGTTTCGCGGTTATTAATTAAATTTAATAAATGATACGGTATCATATTAATACATAATATATAAGATTATGCGCTCTGATATTATAAAGAGGAATTTTTTTCCAAAATAAAGTGTTCTAATTAAGTACCACGTGTCGGAAAAAAAGCATTCTCCAAGTTTTCATTCTACTTTATTCCATAATAATAACAATCGCGTGATAGGCGTAAACTCGATGATCTATCACGGGACGTGATACACACGGAATCGTCATTACGGTTTCCAATTGTCGACATAATTTGAAACAATTACTGCCAATAGTAATAACTAACTCTATCTCATTTCGAGAGAATTAACCGGCAAGGTTGAATGCATATCGACAGTTACGCGAGTGAATTCACATTCGAAGGAAACAATGTGTATTAAAATTACTACGCGTCACGTCGCGTAGAGGAAGCCACCTCGGCGGATAATTTTGCCGTTGATTTTCAATTCTCATTCGCTCAATGACACAGGTTACGCACATCGATATGCTCGTTCATCCGCGACGATCGTGATTCATATATACGCGATATAATCGACGCAATCTTACGACGCAATCACGCTCTCTCTCTCTCCCTCCCCTGCCTTCCCGCTCCCTCTCCGGATTCCGTGTAATTTGCATACGTTGAGAGAAAATTTCCCGCGATAATCTATCCGACCGCAGGTCTCGCTGGCAAAGGAGCCGATCGTCATAAGTGATTTTTAACCGACCACGAGAGAGCGAGTCGTTTGTAATCCGCGGCCGCAGCAACCGGGGAATCTTACGTAACGTCGGAGATCCTCGCTTAATGCGCCGAGCCGGCTAATAGCGTCGTCGCGTCTCAGGATCGGGCCCGAAGGCACGCGTCGTTGCGCGCGGTACAGCGTAAAAGCGAGGAAGTTTTAAATGGTACCTTCTTCGACGGCACCTGCACCTCAAAGACGAGAAAGAAAGAGCGAGAGAGACGGAGAGAGGCTCGGCGGGAGCCGGCAAATGTCTCACTCAACCACGCTCGTACGCGGCTCTAATGGAAGCGGCTAGGTAGGTAGGTAGGTAGGTCATCGGCTGTCATAAACGCTCGACCGTCCAAGTTTCCTCGGCGGCGCGAAGCGTGTTAATAGCCTCATTAGATGTCACGGCAGTAACGTATATACCGCGATCGAACGGCCATCGAGGACCCATAATTATTCCGTGCAAAGCTGATTGTGAGGTTTCACACATTTTAGTCTTGTAACGCATAAATTTCTTTTTTCTCCGATCACCAGTGGATGATGTATCTCGGGTCGGCTGATTCTATCGTTAAATTTATTTGATTAGAAAATCGTGAACGTGTGGTATATTAATTTTTTTTTCAGGTCGAAGCAAAATGTGTAAGCTGAATGGATAAAGCGTGAAATGAGACGACGTATTTGCGTAATTATGTCATAACCGTTTCTTCTGACGTCGCGTTCTTCAAACAGGATACCAGCATTATCTTTTTTTTTTTCTCTCAATTATGACATCGACTTCTACAGTCATTAGCCTCGGCATTAGCGCCAATGGGACACGGTCTTCCCAGGCTGTCAACCATTCAAGCATTGACCGTATCAAATGTTGCTTAAGTTTGTTAATTAACTCCTCAACTCCGCCACCTCCTGAATGTGTGACCATTTTGACAGCGCAATCATTATTTTACGGATATTTGTGTGATTCATTCGTACACATGTGTCGCTTTGCATGATTTCGTCTATTATAAAAAAGTGTATAGAGAAATTATCATAATATCATAGATATAAAATATTTTTAGAAATATCATAAATATAAAATAATTTTAAATATTTTTTTGGAGAGAAATGATTATTGTTAAAAATAAGATGATCCGAATCAAAAGTAACTAACAGAATTTGTCGATCAAACAGACGAGAGGTTCGAAAGTGAGCGCTGGTGGTTATTATTTTCATTCTAATCGACGTCCTTGACAATTATACGACAATACACGCACCATTTGCCACGCATTTGCCAAAATATCGCGATCTTTATTTATCTCATTCACATCGAGCTGGCATCGAGGTTTCTCATCCATATAAGCAGCTAATAAAATTCTCTCGCTAAACATTTTTCGCGACAATCTTCCAAGAACCTTTATCGTCAATGTTAGAATTAGCTGTCACAGCGCGTTGAACGTGTTAAGTTATATCAGTTACCACATAAACCTGCCTGCGTTCGACAATGTGCGTATGGTCGACGACACCCGTCCATCTGCGATCGAACGCGCAGATTACATTCGATGGGACGAAACGTCCTGCATCTGGAATTCCGGCGCGACCCATCCCGCCGAGAGATCCCGCGAGACGTTGACAGTCGCGGATAAAAATAAAAATGAAAAAAAAAAGAAGAAGAAGAAGAATACCCGTCCGTTTATCCGTCACTAATCGACGACCGCGTGACGTCTCGTATTCTAATATTTTCCGTGAAGCGTCGCGCGCGCCAACATGAATTCTGATTGAGGAGCGAGGATCCGAAGACCGGTTGGTTGCCTGCCGGTGCGTGCGGGCCCCGAAGATGCCAACGGGGTCGGGAGCGATGGTCGATAAATATTAAACGACTTTCCACCTGTCGCGTCGTCATCGTCATCATCGTCGTCGTCGGCGGGGCAAGGGCAACACTTCCGAGAGGGAGATGACTGAATGTTAATTAGCGAGGCGTGACAAGTGTTAAGTAATCCATCCATCTACCTATACCCCGGGAGGGAGGAGCCTGTCTAACGCTCGGTAATTAACGCGACACTCTCGGGGCCTCGGCCACGCACCATCGACGGGGAACCAACGCGGCTCTCTTCTTGGGAGCGCAATTAACTGGCGATTTAACAGTTAACCTCGGCCTAATAGGTGGGAGGACATTCGCGCGAAACAAACTCGTTGTACTTTATGAGAATACCAGAAATCTTTTTTCCTTTTGGCATTTTGTACAATATTACATGCGATATTTATGTCTCGAAGGCACGACGTTACGTCACCATGTAATCATACGAAAGAATATGTAATGAAAACTTTAAATTGTAGATTGTTCTGCATTTTAACGTGATAAAGACGTTTCCATATTTATAAATCATATCGATGATATAAATTTATTATTCTTATGAGAAAATAATTTCCTGTTCTGCAAAAATTGTCCTTCACAAAAAAATTGGAAGAAATAAAAAATTTTTAATAATATATATATAAGTATATTGAGATATTCATATTATCGTCGACGAAATAATGTCTGCAGAAATGTATTATCAACAATATATATGTATATCGCGTGTACAAACATGTAATAATGGATGAATTTACTTACGAAGAGGTCCGCAGGATTGCAATGTCATCAATCGTTCCATTATCCACAATACAAATCGAATATATGACTATATAGGTCTATAAAATTATATTTCTAAAGAGATCAACGATATCTTCGCTAACGCTATTCCAATAATACTGATTAAGATCGAGTTTTATCGACAGTACGAGCGAATATTTATGTATATATATAATATAAACATTCACTGACCTATACATTGACTGATTTTCGTCTGTATTTCTTCTCGCCAAATATTTTCATTTAATTAGTATAAATATTACTTTGATACACGCGTTTCAATACATGCCTATATATATCCAATCACACAGGCACGAAATAAATTTATTATTCTTATAATAATAGAGAGAATAATTTTCTGTTCTGAAGAAATTTTTCTTTAAAAAAATTATAAGAAATAAAAGATGCACATGCAAATAAATGTATGTTCATTCATCAATATTCATATCAATATTGAAAATATATCATCTATATTGCTAATGTATATTTGTCAATATCAATATAACCTATGGAACTTGACGCTCGCGCAAATACAATTCAATCGAGAAAATTCCAAAGGTAATTACAATCTTGCGAATTAATTTGCAGGAGGGATTTAACAGACTGTCCGATTAAATTTGCGCGCGGAGAATATACGCTCTCGCGTATAAATGTCATAACGTCGATTCTCGTTTCGTACCACGTCCGTAATGAAACCGGTCGCCGTGACGCGTCGACTTGTATTAATTAGAATGCCGGATCCCCGAGAGATGCCCGGCGCAGATAAACGGAGCGGTGCAACGTTACAATGTTACCAAACAATGCCGCCGTATCTCTAGACTGTCGACCGGTACAGCGCCGCCGATATCTGCATTAAAGGAACATTTACATCTCGAGAGCGAGGCCCGGTCAAATCGCCGAATCATAACCCGCGCCCGATTCTCGCTTGTCGATTAGATGTATCAGTATAATTAACAACAAACAATGGCCGCGAGGGAGACGCGCGGGTTCGATATCGCGTATTAATCGATTACCCTCGCCGGTCGGGCCCCGGAGATATGCGTCGGGCCCGGCTGTTAATCATCACCGCGGGTGCGTTTGTACCACCGACGTCTGTCCTTTTTTTTTTCTTCCCATCGTGAGAGAGAAAGAGAGAGAAAGAGAGAAATACCAATAGGCTTGAATGTACGTAGCCCTGAGGACCTCTTCCGCTAACTACCTTTGTAACACGTCATTCGATTCTCCCCCTTTACTCCTTCTCCCTCCCGCCCGCACACGAAATAGCAGAAACAATGTAACGATCTCGTTCGACCGACGCGAATTCCGCTTCTCATGGCGTATCATGCGCCCATCTATCGATTAACCGATTACTTGCATTATTCGACGAGTGGATACTCTAACAAAGTATAAGAAAACATTTTAATACCTATTCAAAGTAGTTGCAAAGTATCTTTGAATTATTTATATGTTTCTGTCAATTAATATTAATATTTTGACAAAAGATTTCTTATCCGCACAAAGAAAAATATC